TTTGCAATAATCTTACGCCACCCTTGCACAAAACGACGATAATTTTTCTAATTTCATAGACAACAGAAGACTGTATTTTTTCTACATAATCCCCCACCCCCTGAATTTAAAGCTGGATCCAGCCCTGACTAGACTATTTCAGATATGTACACCGACTATTATTCAACGACGGATATTTAATAGACAAAGTTAGCCATTAAACAATTAAGAGCTCTTGTCAGCTCTTAATTGCTTTTAAATTGAGATAGTTTCTAAGTAATTTAATACGTTTGTTAATTTGACTCAGTTAAATCTTGTAAAGTGTGAAAATGTACTATTTAAGACGGCTTATCTTGCTTTTATGCAATTACTAACATCAGCCAATAAAACTAAGCACTATATGTAAGAGCATAAAAAACAGACACTTAAAAAACTCTTTGCCTACCTGTTAAAAAAATTAAATTTATTTTAAACTCGTACCTTGATTTAAGTATGTTTTTCTAGAAGTTTTTAAAAATAATAAAATCTAAGGTTTCTAGTGGTTACTAAAATTGCAAAAATTGTTTTAAAAAGAGGCTCTTAAAAACACCAAAATATTTAGTTTTAATATAAAATTGTGTGCACTAATGGATGATCCTCTTTCAACAAAAACAAAACTACTCGTATGTAAATAAAATTATAGCCATAAAATTCAATGGAATAATTCCACAATTTTAACAAAAGAACAATCCACAAAAAAACGTAAAATTAAAGAAAGCGCACTAATTTTACTAAATCAAAATAATTGTGTTGCTTCATGTTCATTTAATTTAAGTCATACATGGTTACCTATGCTAAAATCTGAAGTAGACCAGAGAAACATACACCCAAATTAAATTTACACCAAAATTATTAATTAACATTACCTTTATTAATTTAAACAATGAGATTAAGTCAAAGTCACATAACTGACAATTTGCACAGACGAATTATCAGAACGAATTTTCATATATTGTATTATCCTACTATTGTTACACAATTTATTAACATACTCTTTTTTAGGCTCATTTATGTTTTTTTGATAACGATAGCAGAAAATAGTACTAATTGGAATTTTCTCTTACAGCTTGAGCCTAAGTGTGTTGCATCTAGGTGATACCCTCTAGGTGATAGTTCTTGATTACTTTTTGATCAATAATTCGGTCTTATTGCGAAATAGGAGCACTATTTATCAATCTGTAATAAAAGACGTGAGGAAATTCTGTCTTTTTTAAAGGCAAAAATTTTTGAGGCGAAATATCCAAAAAGGCGTTTGTAAAAAAATGAATCCGTCTCAACAATATAGAACTTATCTACTCGTATATAAGTATAGTGAAAAATGACATACACGTTAATAAACATATGCATTTCTTTAAAGCGCAAGATATTGTTATACATATTCGTTTTAACCAGTAAAAAAATTTGCCGACAAAAACGACCATTGAGTATAAAACAGAGATATAAAAATATAATAAACCAATAGAAAAAGATTGTAAGGAAACCGCTTGTAACAGAGTTGATTAATTATTTGTAAGGAAAACTTAGGTGTAAGAATTAGTTAAAGTGGATTTTGAAAATTGTTTTGCTCACAAAATAGCAACATTCCGAATGATACTTTACGGATCGGTTTCAAACTTATTAAGTTAATATCCCGAATAATATCTGGCGAGGTGCCACCTAAAAATACAGCAAACGTGCTTGCATTTGATGTTCCCTCGCAAAAATAAAACACCAAACAAATTCTGATTTACAGCAGCATCATGTACAACTTTTTTTCCGCAGATGTATAAGGCACAAGCGTCGAGAAACTTAAAATGATTGATATAGACAAACTTTTGTATTATTGCGAGAAAATGGGCCTGTCTGTAAATTATTATATTTTTTTCGCTAAGTTTTTTATTTAAAACTTGGAATGGATCATAATAAGTCCTTTAGATAAAAGGAAATCTACAGCATTTAATGCTCTTACCCTACATCTGGCAACTACACCAAGAAAATAAAAGGTTTAATGTAATGCACTTTGTTGTATTCACATACACACACACACTGATTTTGATTAAGTGTAGATACTGCTAAAATTATACCCAAAAATTTGGTTTCATGTTGTAAATTATTCTGATGGTTCAAAAACCGCCTAATGATTGTTTGGATATTTTCAACCGGTTCGGAGTTATATGTATAGTGCTCCTTTAAACATTGAAATTTTTAGTAAAAGACGCCTATTTAGGTTATCATCACGGTCACTAATTAACCGTAATATGATTTGTTTGATTATTTTTCGCATCTCACTTGTACCTAACTGTAAAGATACGATTTTTTTGGAAAATTTTCAACAATCAAAGCTGCAAATCTAAAGCAGATTATGAAAATTCAACTTATAAGATCTGAAACGTCGCCGGGTTCTTAAAGTTGTGAATTTTTGCTGCTTGCTTTTTAAATGGTGGAAGCTTTGCGTTAAATCTCCTGATACAAATCGAATTTTTGTCGATTTCACTTACAAAACGGGTTTAACGTTACGTTATTTGAGATTAGTCTATGTGGAAATAAGAGAAAATAGGAACCGTATACGTCTTGCAGCATACAGTTTATATTCAACATCTACATCTACTTTAGGATCTAAAAAAAGCTGTGAAACGTTTTTATAAAAATGTTCAAAATTAAATGAGGTTTTTTAATTAATGGAAAACTTAACCAAACAAAAACTTAATGGATGCACTGTTTTCAGTGTCTTAACTGAATAGGTCATAAAAAGTTATATTTTTGGGCACTCAAAGATAGAAACTGTATGAAAAGTGGGGGTGACGGAAATTATATATAGAGTGATCTTGAGCAAAATAGGACCGAAAAATGAAGCATAGAACATTTAAAGTTCAGGGTATTTTTTAAGAACGATAGGTATGATCATAGGTATATGATCTACTTGCATCACACAATAATGTCTTGTTTTTTACACTCCAAATTACTTTTAGAGAACATAATAATTGAAAAGTAATCGCAACTGAACTGTTAAGTAATGAGCTAATTTCAGTACTCATATGCAACGATTAAGATAATTTAGAGTTTTTGGTACACAGAAGCATGCACTACCACAGTCATGGTTCTTATAAGGGTTTGCGCGTATTTGCCCTTAAATGGTAATTTTGAAAGAAGATGCTTATTTAAATAAAAGTTAAATAATAAATACTATTGTAAGAAATTTGGGTTATTTCAGCCGATAAATATTTGAAACATGAAACTGATGATAGTAAGATAAGTGGTGTAAATTCATTGTTGCTTTCCATCGGTTTGGTTTAGATGGCGTATATAATGGAGTTTATTAGCATGTTACATACCATTTGTCAGTTGTGATCAAATTTTATTAAATGATAATAACGAATATGCATACAACTAGCGATCAAATTCATGACCGACAACTCACCAACTTCCTTGCGATTCTTCCATTGATTTTCGTGGTTCAGTCACTTTAATTTTACAATATTCTGTAGATGTGACTTATATTTTCGTCCCAATGCCATTGCATTTTTACTGAAAGGTTTCTTTGGTTACAGGACCGTTTGATGTTCCAATACGATGCCAATGGATAATCGACGCTGTTAATACCGGCACTGCAAATACTTCCATTATCGTATACTTGACTCAATTGTTCACATTTGAAGGTAATTTTTTAAATAATTTTATTAGAAAACAGGGGAGTTTAAATTCTTATTTTAAGTACCACTTTGCATATGGCGATTTTACTGGCAATTACTATACAATACATTTTTATACTATTAGACGCTCACTCTTAGATGCAATTTAGAGAACCACCATAAGCTTTATTTTTATACTTTGCATTATTTTTTTCATTGAATTGTTTTAGTTGATATTCTACCATTGGCAATATTGACTAGTTTCTTAGACGACAAGTTTCAATGGAATGATTTCGGTTATTGATCCGATCATATTTCGACTGTTACGAATGTTCGGGGTGTATTATTAAATCAGCTCAGCAGTTGAAATTCTGTTAGTTAGTACGTTTTATGGAAACTGGTGTAGGTCCCAAAATATATATGCAAACTCACTAATCTGAGTTTAATTCAATTAACAGCACCGATTTTTGTAACCGATAAATGCTTTAATCGAAACCCCAAAAATCAAACAAATGTCCTGCAGTTTATTTGGAAACGACATTGCTACACTCTATCAGTATTTAACCAGTGGCAAGTTTTTAATATTAACATCTTCAAATGTGAATCCTTTAATAAAGTTACTACTCACTGAAAGGCCCCAATAACTTCATTTATGGCATGAAACTTCCCAAGGATCCGAAGTTCAAGCTCACTCTAAGTATTCTGCAAGTTTTAAGCTCGCACAATCTCCAGATTGGAAAGTAAAAGCAAGCGAATTAATAAAATTGCTTTAAAAATCACTGATTTACGTCACTACTTTCATAACTTGCAGACGAAAAGTTTGTCCGGGAATTTTAATTTAACTAAATATAAGCGATAGACAGCAGAAAGTTCCTGCTTTTAGAAGAATTTGCTGTCTAAAAGTTATTGTAAAATAAAAACTCAATTAATTTCATTAAAAAACCAGACAAATTATCACAATAAATTGGCACAGCTTCTTCAGTTGTAAGGCAAAGCAACCGTCGTGTTAAATTGATTTGATTTGATTTGATATAAAAATTCTACCAAAATGTGAAGAGAGCGGAACGGTGTTTCTTGAATGGATTTGTTGTTCATTCTAAGCAGAAGACTTTATTTTAACCGTGAACAAATCAATAAATTTCATTTAGCTGACGCTGGAAACATCTTGTAACATTTTAATTTGCATCCAGCAGCACCAAAGGGACCGGCTATGGGCGTTTTAATTAAATTTCTTTCTGTGAATTGACTCTGTTTACTTTTGCATTCGTTATGAATTAAGTTAATTTAACCGGGGAACTTTGAATGAAAAGCAGTAGATACTGGATAATTATATGATACGATATGAACATACTACTACATAAAAAGTTGTTGCTTGAATAATAATAATAATAAATCTGTTTCGGTTGTGCCTTCTGTTCATTTCAAACTATGAGCCAAATACCATTCAGTTCCACAAGTTTAATATCTAAAGTGGTAATATGGAAAATTATTATAATGAGATCTTCTCAATTTTATGGTAATATTTTTGATAAATCACAATCAGGGACGTAATTTATTTCGTGCGTTCACTATGTCTACTCTATTCTCATGGGACAGGAAACAGTAAATCGAATGATCATATAAAAATGATAAAAAAGCAAAAACATACATTTTTATGTGACATATTAGGAAAAGTTTGATTCCATTGATATGCAGCAAATGAAACAGCAAAATACTAGCTAATATTTGTTTGCACAACTTTTATATTCAATCGTCTTAGATATTGTAAACATTATTATTATAATTCCAGGTTTAACGTTTACTGAATACCAGCTCTATGGCAACGATTACAAGATCAATCCAATAGTTATCCATAAAGTAAATGAGACGAATGTGGTGCGCACTAAATGGGTACAAACTTTCCGCAGTTATTTGGTGATTGAGTTAAAATTGCAATCAGTTGATTCGGCACATCTTCGAGTACTGGACAAATTCCTGGATACGTATGGATTCAACATCACTTATGAAATTACAACCAATAGTGTACGAAGATCGCCCTGCACTATGATGGATTGCGGTTTTACTGGCATTTGTTTCGATCATTACACGTAAGAAAAATTAGTTTTTGCCTCCAATAACTATTTACTTAAATCATTAGGCGCACAATAAATTTAATGCAAATATGTCGATTCGGTTTACTAGCGAATCATTTAAGATAAATCTGATTTCAGATAGTATTACCATTTACATTTACATTTATACACACAGAAAGTTTGCTAAGCTTGGTGATCCATCATGAAATAGACTTTCACAGTTCACTAGCTTTAATCCCGCAAATGGCATAAAACCGAAGTGCATTAGTGGATTTAGTCAACTATAACTTTACTTCACATGTTACTATTTATTTATTTCCTCATAACGTGATAGATGGAAGTAAATAATTTATTTAAGAGTAGCAGTGGCTATGAACATCTCTGAAACCTGAAAATGTGTTTTGCAAAACTTAATAGTTATAACTGATCGGTTATATTAATTCATTTCAGAAAGTTCAGTTGTCACTGCTTTGATGGTTACTCTGGACCAAACTGCTCCGAAGGACCAAAATCGTTCTGTTATACAAACGGAACTCCGACCTGCAAAAATGGTGGTACTTGTCTGTAAGTACCGAAAATCGTGGACTAAACATGGTTTTGTTGCAATGAGATGCTAAGCGGTTACTTAAAACAATTTATTTCCAAATCAATTGCGTAGAAGTTTTCAAACGGCGATTCATGCGGGAGTCGGTATTCGCCGTGCAATATTTTTTTAGAGCTTGAAAGTGGTTCTTCAAGACTTTTGGAGGTGACAACACATTTACTCGTTTCGATTGAGATTTCTAAAGATGGTGATTTTTAATTCTTGTTTATATACAAAGTAAGTAAGATATTCAAATTCTTACAGCCTGCCCTGGCATCGAAGGTGGATTAATTTTGTAAATTAATTCTATGACTTGTTTGAATAATTTAAAAGAACCGAGTGCCGATGATGGCATAATTACAGGCAAATTGTTAATGATTAAATTACCAGCCCTTCTGGCGACAAAAAGTCACTAACTTTAAACATCTTCTCACACACGGATATTTTATGAACCGTGGAAAATCAAAAGGCGTAGGAAAACATTTTTGTTTGCAATTAGTATCTAATTCAAATATCTTGAGTAAAGTAACTTTTATTCAAAATAATTATCCTCTATAATTTTCACAAACCTAATATACCCACGGTTGATATGTGAAATACGTTTACAGAACAATTAATAAGCGAGCAATTATTTCCCTTTAATGGCAAACGTGTTTCGAATGTTAAAGAGGCGCCAAAGAAATTTGGCAAGAAAGTATCTGCATTTTGCGTTCGGTCATTTAGTAAATTCTTGCAACAAAAGCCGTTAAACTGAAAATATCCATTTTAACAAAATCTAAGCCTTTACTTATTAAGAAAAGGGGCTAGATGGGAAAATTAAATTTCCAGGCACGTTGGAGTAGCGGCCGTTAAGTGTCACTGTTCGAAACTTTTCTCTGGAAATACTTGCGAGACGCCCGTGGAACCAACTGGCGCTAAAGGTAAAGTATTTTTATGTATGCTAGACTCTATTAGATTCAATAGGGTGTATTTAGAGTAGAAATGAATTTTTCATATAAAGCGAAATTTGAGTTTTCAATTCCGTACTCGTGCCATAGAAATTGTGCGGTATTTTGTATTATTGAAATAATACTGCAATATAAAAGTGGCTTTAGACAAGAAATGCTTTTACCTAAGAATACTCTCAAACCATATATTTTGCAAACTATTTCGAACTGGTTCGGCAAAGTCTACCTCTTTGAAAAACATTTGCAAATAACTGAATATTTTTATATTTACTTTCAGGCTTCTCAGCCATCCAACCTTTTTAAATTAACTAATAATTTAATTAGACGAATCTTAAATTTGGGCCACCGAATCTGAAATCAAAGAAACCCATATAAAAGTGTCACTTAACGCAAACCCGTTGGGAACTTATTACCAAATTAAACATTCAGTTGTGAAACTAACCAGCTGCTACCCGCAGCAAATTGAGTTTTCCCATAAATGCATAGAACAAAGGGACTATTTGAAACCAACAAAATACTTGAACTTTTCCTCTTCTCTTTGCACACAGAACGCTTAATTATTCGTTTTGACAATTTTTATTGGGCAGGAAGAATCGATGAAGTAATGAAGCATATAGTTTGATCGGTATTGCATGTAAGAGTTCTAATATTTTTATTCAAATATAATAATTATTACATAATTAATATATTTTTCGTTCCGTGAAAATAATTCAATATTTAAACTTTTAGCGTTGAAAAACTGCCCAAACTGCCCGACAAATTGCACGCACAATGAGAAACCGGACAACACTTGCAAATGTCTTAGTGCAAAGCCAGACGTAGTTGGTAAGTTATTTATTAGATTTGCAACTGAAATAAAATTAAAAGTGTCAAATCGACTAAACAAATAATATCAACTTATGTAGGTATTTATTTAATTTTTGTGGCTCAGAGAAACTTAGACAACATAAAGCCAAATACATAAGCCAAATAAAACAACGCAAAGAACCACAAATAAAAAATCAGACAGTTTATAGAACAGAAAGAATAAAGAGTTTTATACAAAATAACGTCTTATTAAAATATTTAATTAAAAATTGTTTATAAAACCGTTGATTTGAATTATAATTTAACACATGAGCGTTGATTTATGGATGAAATTTAAAATACTAATTCAAACGTTTCAATTGGGGCGATATGTTTTGCCTGATATAGAATTGATTGACTATTAGACATTATACAACTTAACTTCGAATTTTCTGTAAATTTTATTTGAATATATAATCAGATAGTTTTTACAAATCTTTGTTGCCTTTCTCCAACTTTTCCTGTGGTGTTGCAAAAAATGCAAAAAAATGTAGAATCACATCATTTGGACAACACACCCGCAAAACCTGGTTTCTCATAGACAAAACACTAGTTAAATCTTGAAGAAGAAAAAAGCTTGCACCTTAGTAAATGACTAAGTCAACTACTTTTGCAGACAGCCAAATTAAATGGGATAATTTCTCCATTCTTCATAGACACACTTAGACATATGCTACAAGCGCCTTGTGGTTATGACTAAACATATCAGTAAAATATCAATATTGGGTATTTTTAAGCACCTAATAGTTGCATAAGAATATATTGTTTCATATCCTAAGGAAAACAGTAGAGTATTAATTTATTTTCCAGGCCACACTGGTACATTTGCCACTCTCCAACTTGGAAATCTACCTCCATTAGAGCCAAATGATCTGAAGACGTATATAAAGATCCAAGTAAGTACATATTGGAGAAAATGCAAACCCACAATAAGTAGGAGCTAAGTACTTGTACAGTCAAATAGGTGAAACAGGTGTTTCCGATTTAGGAAAGTCGCACGGAAGACAAAAGTAGAGCTGAAAGTCCGATGAAAATGTCCCACATACCCGCGGGTTATCCGATATTTTTCCGGTAACAGTGAAATAAAACTCAAGTGTTTTCGACATGGCGCAATAGTGTGGAAATATTGTCATAGACAGGTGATGGGTTTTATTTCGAAAACTTGCTCAGAGCGGGATATCTTGATTTGTAAATCCATTTTTATAAAGCAGCGGTTGGAGCCGCTCATTGGCTCTATATTGGCTCCCAAATATTTTGCTTCCTGCAGCTCTCTATTATTGTATGGAGGAATGTTATCCTATGTATGTAATATTGATTTTTAGATCTGAATTCTTTCGAATGGAATTTTTAAAACATCAAATTGAAATTGAACACAAATGTAAAAGAATTCAAGGGTTCGATTTCTAAATTGAATGTTATTATTAACAGGTATATCGACTGAAAGGGCGTTTTCGACAATAACATTATATAAAAAGAGCGTTTCCAGATAAAGAGAACACGTGTGTTTTGCTGTACGTACATGTTGCAAAGTGACAGAACACCCTAAGAAACAAACACCCTAAGAAAAACACCCTAAGAAACAGAATCGGGTTTAAGATTGATTGTACATACTTTCCTGACTGTGTTTCAATTCCAAATCCGAATTAATTCCTGGGTTTCAGTCATTTATTGTCTCTATTTATCAATTAAAATACGTTTCATTGTATTTTTCCACCATCATCAGTTTTTATGTGTAGCGTTGTTGCTGCTTTAAGCCTTGGCATACATTGGCATACAGAAAATGTATGCCAAGGCTTAAAGCAGCAACAACGCTACACATAAGTCTGATGATGGTGGAAAAATACACCGAAACGTATTTTAATTGATAAATAGAGACAATAAATGACTGAAACCCAGGAATTAATTTGGATTTGGAATTTAAGATTGATCCACAAAGCCTTGAAAATTCGTATTTCATTTTCGTAGGCGCACCGTAAAATATGTTACTAACAAAAAATGCGTAGCTCCTAAAGCAATTTCCTTTTCATTAATTTTTTGTTTCATATTTCCCAGGTTTTAAATATTTAAAAGAATTAATAACTGCTAAAAAGCTGAAGCGATAACTACAGTATTTTTACGAATTTGAGTAGCTTTCTTCTGAAGTTTTTAGGTTCAAAAAGCCAAAAGTCTATTTTGTTTGCTCTTTTATGGCGCAAACAAAAAAAAACGTCTTGCAAAAATGGCATGTAGCAATGAAGAAAGGAACTTCGGCCCTTAAAAGAGCGGCGGATAAAATAATTGGTATCGTTTTCCGGACAGGACATCGTATCAATGACCAAAAATCTAAAGTTCGGTAAAATGTTTTGTGGTAAAACTTTTGGGCGACGATAGTTCAATGCAAAATTCGTGTTCTGCAATTAGGGATTTTAATCTAAAAGAGATAGAGATTTAACCCACAAATGCGGAAATGTTTGCTGTATAGTACCCTGAATTTAAAGCAGTATTTGACGTACACTGTTTGAAACTCAATCTGAATTCAAAAAAATATGACTAAAATAAAGATAACAAATATATTTTAGTTATGAAAGATGCCGCGAAGCACAAGATTTTATTTCCTATAACAGACCCACATAGGAAAGGTTGTATGCTTAACAATATTCTTATACTTATGCAGATTAAATTAAAAATATTCCATGTTCCTGCGGGAATTTTAATACATCCTTTTCAAGTATTCAAACTCATAAACCAAATTCTGTTCAGATTTCCATGTTTAATTGTAAAGAACTTAATGGATTTTAAATCGAACAGATGCATTTCTTCACAAACAACATAAACATTGATAAAACTTTTTCCGAGATTGCATGTAGCAATCAGTAGAGCAAAGTCCAGAATTTGGATCTTTTTCATTTGACCGAATCCCTTTTAGCTTTAGGAATTTTCATTTGCTCTGGTTGTCTAAGAATGTGTCGGTCTTCGTATTCTTTCTTGCCTTTCTCTGTTGCGTGATAAGAAAACCATTTACACTAATTAGTATTGTAATAGATTTCAGGATACGTTTGGCGGACCGGTTCCTTCTCAATGCTATTAACTTCGTAATGGTGTCACAAGAGGAACAATTTAAGTGAATTTCACAAGTGTACATTTTTATCGATCTCTAGTAATGAGAAGAATAAATGCGAATCGATAATTCAAGGTGTTGGAGACAAACAGGAAGATCTGGATGTTAAAATACAATGTTTTTCCGTTGATATAAGCTTATCAGCAAAAGCAAAGGAAATTTAAGAAATATTGGTGGGTAACATAATATTTCTTTTAATATCGCCGCGTTTATCACCCTCATATTCGGCCATGCAATCAGTATTGCACAAAAAAAAATATTATAAGTTGCTTGAAGTCTTAATTGAATATAGAAAATAATTAATTTTGAACGAGCTTTAGAAGAAACAAAACGAAAATAAATGTTAATATTAAGAAGTCAATATTTACAAGCCGATTAAAATGAGATAAATTCTTCTCTCTTTTACATGTTGCTCTGTTAGCTATTGTATCATTTTCAAACATTTCCCCGTCCTTTCCCGTCCTAATAATGCAAAGAATGTGTATGATATTGTCGTAATCAACTCCTGTATAGCCACGAAATAAAAACCACAATTATTCCACGTATTTCTATCAAAACAATACCCGAGAAATTAATTTAATGACAACAACGGTCCGAAACAACCCCTAAGGGCTGCGCGCAGCAAATTTAATTGCGACCCTAATAAAATACCTAATACTTTCCGTAGGGTCCAGTTTATACTACGATTGCAGTAGCTAAAACCGACTAAAATTTAATTTACCAGTAGTTTTCCTTCTGCGTAAAAAAAATATAAATGTTGAATAATTTGCCAGCCAATTAAGTAAAGGGAAAGGCAATTGCCCTTTTGCACTTACGTAGTTAAGGGCCGTTATATCTTTAGCAGAAGATGAACTGCTAGTTGGTTAAGTGTAACTAACCGGCTGCCACAAAGTTAGCTGCGAACAGTTTCGCATTCAAATTTAACCGAAAACTTGCTTTGAATATAATGCGATATCAGGAAAGTAAATAGTAGAGGAAATGTACGACAGACGAAAAGGCTTGAGTTGGTATTATAACCAGTTATGGGTTTACCTAGCAAAATTACATCCACAAAGCAAACCATTAAATACTGCTCGCTTTGAGGTAAATTTTATCTAATATATTGTTGTTTGGCTACATTTTCTGGTTTTGCTACGTCGGGAAAATCCAACGCATTAAACATAATAGAGTTATAATAGTTAGAACCGCAAAATAAAGTAGAATGTGTTGAATGCGGCATGAAAGACGCAAAAAACGAATAATATTTTCCATCTTAACAAAACTCCTCTGAAAGATAGTAAGTGAAATATATAAAGCTTACATTTCTATTACCTGCCAATGAGATGTGCTTAGTCAATGGATGACCTGTGCTTAAAATAATATATTTCATTTCAGATAAAGTGAAGGCAAAATAGGTTTCGGAAGCGACCAGACGGATTCCAGTTATTGGCTGGCAAACGACATTACGAATCATAAATCTAGCGCTGAAAGGAATAAGAGACGATGAATCCCCGTAAAACCTACTTTCATGGGATACTCAGTTATCATAGAGAAATTGTTGTTTTAAATCGTGTGATTGACTTGCTGTTTATTTTCAATCTTAGTTCATTTTGGTCAGCTAAATTACCTGAAAGAATTTTGGAAAAATGGACCTGGAGATAATGTTTTTTTAAATTAATGAAAACCATATTATGTAAATTTGTGACTTGTATAATGAAAAACGTAAATTTTGAAAAATTTATGCATATTAAATATCTATTTAAATAAAACAATAATATTGAGCCACAGCATATACAGATTAACGTAAACATCTTTGGAATTTTTTTTGTAATTTTCAGACGATGCTTGGTTTTGGTTCGATGAAATGGTTTAATTCAATTGTAATTGTGTATTGTGTTTCAGCTTCTAGGACACCTCCAGCTGAATCTGTCGTCAACTGAAGATATTAAGATTGCCAATCTAATGTGAGTATTACTTAAGTAAGCATCTCAAATTTGCGAGAAATAATCTTAATAAAAATACCAAGTATAGGTGATATTTTACACTAGCCATCTGTTATTTGATTTTAAATTATTTTGGAGTAAAAATCAAAGTCCGTTCTGATAATGGGGCATATAATTTAATAAAAAAATTCATGTTTTAAAACAGCACAGTAAGATGCCTTAGGGCGTACTGAATAGTTGAAAAAATTGATTTTATTAACTTTATTAAGGCTTTGCATTTTATTGTAGAAGCAGTTTATGTTTCTTACCACTGACTTTCTTAACGTAGGATTTAAGTCATTAAAATAGGCAGCTTTCGCGAAATCAAACTGTTTTACACATTTACAGTGTTAACTATAAGAAAAACAATTTAATTAAATTTTAAAATAAAAAAAAATGAAATATAATTAGCAAAAATTTGTCATTCATATTTTAATCTAGATTTGTTATTAATTATACTTGACATGTGTAAAGTACTGCTAGAAAACAGTACCAAGTGAATCTGCAAACGTTTCACTTAAATAATAGGATTTCAGTATTTCAGGTTGGAAAATCGTATAAATCGAGCTGATTATTGTGCTGTTTTTATGTGATCTCTTTGATACCGATCCGCTTTCGTTATTATCATTTTCAGCTTGTACATGCAATGGGACAATGTTCAAAGAAAATATTGCTCTGTTTATTCAAGTTAAAGTCGGATTTACTTTCAATTAAAACCAGTTAGTTATTCCACGTTCGTCGCTTCCATTTGCTTCGATTACAAATGATCGGTATTAGAGCGAGTGTTTTTAAATTATCTGAAAATAGAACGTTCCTGTACAGTTAATTATTTAAGAGCAACAGAATCGTCCTGGTGGCAACAATATACGAGTTTTAAGGAAAACACTACTTCATTCAATTCTATTTGCGGAAAATATACATTCAAGAAATCCAAAAATTTAATTTTTTGGCTAGTTCTCCAATTTGAAAACACTTTTACGATGAAAATAATATAAAATATAAATACTATAAACTTCAATTGCCATTACGATTAGTACTTTAGTTTTCTTTTAAAGTGTTGCAAAAATGACGCATTTGCTATGTTTATAATGCATATAATCTACAAGTATAATATATGAAATTATAATAAACAGAGATGAGGGAAAGATTGTTTTCCGTCCGCACTTGCAAGTGTAAAGAAGCATTTTAATTTATCAATGTCTGTTTGAATTTTCAATGCAAATTTTAACTTGAATAAACAAGCATTAGGGAAAATCAAGATCACCTCAGGTCATCACTTACAAACGTTTTAGTATTCCGTGAAGATTCTATTTTTCGAACATTTGGATTCGTTCCCGTATTTGTCTCGTCAAGTAAAAAAAAACTCTGGTTTATCGCACGTATTACATCTTAGCGTTCGTATGAGATTTAGAATCTATCAATTCAACTTCTCGTCTTAATTTGAAATAAGTCGGAGCTCGCAGATAATTTTTTTCCTTTGGTACAAAACTTAACGTAAAAGTGTACAAAATCCGCATTATTGAAGCCGCTTGAAGAAGAAATCCAATAATATAGACCATTTTACTTGTTGTAAAGTATTTAATATTTTGTATTTTTTTTGTCTAAACCCATGGACCAATTTTAGAAAGGGAAATGTGTAGAAAGCTAACACATTTTGTTCACGTAAACCTGTCAACAAAAAAAAATGGAGATAAAAGGTATTATTCCAGTAAAAGAACAAAAAAGCGAGTCGAGTCTTTTGTAAAAGGAAATCTTAACGGCGATTTTAATGCAAAATTTATTTGACGGGTAAGGATTAAAATATCGGAATTAATAAATCGAGCCGCTGATGCTGCAAATTGGTTTAGGAATTTGTACCTAAATCCCTAAACTCCCATGATCAATTCGGAGTTTAATTTGTTTCGGCAATATTTTGTTAATGTTTGCGTTGTGTACGTATAAATAAGATCTGAACCGTGAAATACGGTTTACTGATCATCGATTATTGCAATAATCACATTTCATATGTGCAATTAGCGCGATAATTATTTCAATTTTCCAATACAAGAAAATCAACATACTTCTAAACCTTCTATTGTTATCATTTTAACTAAATATTTCGACAATCTATATTGAATTGCAAATTCCTTGTAGCGTATGGAATTATTATTTATAATTACGTTAAAAATATAGGTAACGAACTACTGATTCATTGTGTCTGCCAGTTAGTTCTGCCACAAAAAAACTATTAGGCCAACCATCATATAACATTTTGTGTATAATAAACTAATAGGCAAGCAGCCTTTTAACTCCAAAAAAGTTGTACAAAAATAGATAATATAAAGATAATTCTACGTTATGCATTGCATCCAGTTAATTACAGTTAATTATTATTTTCACTCTCTTTACTTTTAACAAGTAAAGCTATTTTTATGTTACAGCCATTCCATGTCGGGGGCTGATGTGACATTCCAAATATACGGCCCAAAAAAAGATGAGAAAAAAGCGAAGAACATCCTCAACAAATGGATAGATCGGGGCTATATCGGAAACATTACTGTAGCTGAGAAAGACAGCTCGATTAAAACACCACTTTCAATTCAGGTAAGTGTTGTTTTAATTGACGTTCTTAAATTTCTATTAGATAGTTAATTATTAGTCTTACGAATTGCACACAATTATATTAATAGTATTTTCAACTAGGTAGAAAAATTACTTCAATTTATATTCAGCCAGTCCCAACTTAAAGATTTATATATGAAACTAAATTTCAAATTTAACTCTAAATTAAATTATATTTAAAAAAATGTGTTTAATTGAAAATCTATGTTATATTGCGAGTTTGTAGTCGACAGTGTTTTCTTGCCAGTAAACGCAAAATATCAAATTCACAATCTAATTTTAATAAAAGTTGTTGTGCGTAAAAAAATTTTTATTTTCCTTGAAAGTTTCTTTTAATCGAGCTTCCCAGACTTGTTTATGAGCTCAATCAGCAAACTAAAGTAAGATTTAAATGAATTGCCTCATTAAGCTTATTTAACGTCAGAATATCAACACTGATAAGCAAGGGGAGTAAAACTTTTAGTTCAAGAATATAAGATAATCAAACTTTGGCAACGACTAAATAAATCTCCTGTAAGCTAGTATAAGATTGTTGAAATTTATTTAATCAACAAACTCTCGGCAAAAGTAAACGCTTGATTTAACTAATTTACCTTTCAGATCTGCGTATGCAAGATGACGTCTTTGCAATTCAAAAAGTATCGTATTTCCTACTTGATATTGTTTAAACAGTCGTAATTTTGCATCAGTTCTAATCGAATTAAAAACGTCTCGAATTCCATCTGGAATGAGAACAAATATACCAATAATAGAAATTAGGAACCAAAAGTTTCAACCCGCTCGCCAATAAACCGTTCGTAATGGAGCAGAAAAAGCGTCTCTTGGAAGTTTCGAAGAGAAAACAAATTTTCTCCACTGGAGTCAGAATGTTTCAAACGAATTTAATTAACGAAGCTATAAGCGAGAAATGGTTCGTTAATTTTAGAAGAAAGTATAGAAACGACGATTAAATGGAAATATTTGAATTAAACAACACTTAAAGGTTTTTAACACCTTATTTATTAAGAGAAAATCTACGTGAAATAGCTTGATAATCGTCTTTGCATATACAAAACACAAGACCATATGCATTTCAAATTAGCTGAAAATGGAGCTTTGGATTCCCACAAGAGTCCAGAGTAGATTGATTTTGTTTCACAATAGTTGATATATTAATGCATTATAATTGACAACTGGCGTGAATTTTATTAGAAGGAACTAAATCGATTGTTTCCTGTAACTAAATTGTTTATCTTAATAAGCTCTAACTATGCAACATCGATGGAGTATCAAGACCACTGAAATTCTTGAGACAACGTTAATTAAAGCAACATAAATGAAATTTGACGATATCAATAATTTCTAACTGAAGATACTCAGAAAGTTTCGGAGCAGATTACGTCAATTAGGTACGTTGGGACTTAATAGAAAATACATTGCTCTGGAGTAGTTTCTCGAACTGTGCTAACTTCTTAACGAAGTTATCCAGTAAAATCGCCGCTAAACGGTTATGCGGTTAACATTCACAACATGTCACTAGTGGACATGATTTAATTAGATACTAACTCGTTCACATTGCTTCAGCTAACTAAAACTAGTTGTTAGTTGGAAAGTTTCACTGAAATGGTAAATAGTTAAATATATGTAGAAGAGTGAGTATTGTTTTCTGAAAAATTATAAATGTAGTTCAATATTATCATTCCTATTTAGAATTAAATTATTATTTAGAGTGCAATGGCTTGTTAGCATGAACTATTCGTAATGGCTTCATGAAAATTTATTTACTGCTCAGGGATATAAATTTTATTGCGTTCAATCACAAACTCTCATTCTATATTTCTTGTTCGCATCAATGAGACAATAGTTCACATATGGGTAGTTTTAACAAAGATACATTTTAAGTAAATTTATCAGATTATTTTATGAACTGTGTAAGATATACTTTGGAATATACATAATTAACTCTTTTACCTCGGTGATGAGACTATCAATCTACTACTTTTAATAAGTTAATAGTGCGTGTTTGCTAAACGTAAGAAAGATCTTCCAATTCACTCCCTCCTCAAACTCCAAAACTTTATCGCTTTAGCGCTTTCACCTTCAGAATTAATTCTGGATAATTAACTCCAAGACAGCTAGAATAATCGCTTAACTCGGATAAAAATCAACTTTCTTGCAATAATTGACCACGATTTTTAAAAGAAAATATAATGGACAATTTTGAAAAATTCTGAAACTCCATTGAATTATTATGAAACAGTAAATACAACGCACATTAAATAAAGTATCAACGCTGTAAAATTGTTCCAGGTGTTTTTTAATGAGAATACTATCAATTCAATCTCGATGAATTCCAGTGCGACAATAAATTAGTTGCATGTCCAATAAAATTATTGTGACAATTTAAAGCTAATGAAGATTCAGTTAAAACAGAAAATGG